ACCTCACTTGGGTTCAATGTGGGAAGGTGAACATCACTACCTGAAACAAGATAGGCCACTAGGGGAACCAGGGTCCCCCTTTGGGAGTTAATAAAAGAATTTTGAAACAGACTCCCAAGGAAGCTTGAGGGTAGATTAAGAGAAAAACATTAGGGCAGGAAAGCTATTAACCTAGTCACCACTGTGAGAAGGGAGATGGAGGAGAGCAGAGAGAAAGCCATCTTGTTTGCAATGGGAGTCCGCTATTCACCACGTGGCTTAGTCGGGGCAAGAGAATGAATGGCAAAGCCCAGATGTCAGGGAAATTATGCCCAGGCTTTGTCAGTATTTCAAAGAAAAAGAAGGAAAAGAAGTGTGTGGGCTACAGGATGGAAGCGCTGTGAGTGACTGGAGGGAGAAGGGGCTCCTCAAGTCCAACCATTTACTCTCATTAAGGGGATAGTTAGCCAACCCATCTCCAGAGGTTTCTTGGCCAGGTGATTGACACAAACACATCTGGACTAACTTTTAAGGTAGGAGACAATGTATCTAATGTTCTAGTTTTTGGAGTAGGTCCAAACATGAAAATCCAGAAATATAGTTTCAAAGTTGTTTATCTAAGGAATTACTGGGGACCAGCCCCAACCAGATCTTCTGTCTTGTCTGTTCTTCTTGAGGCAGCAGAGGGGGAAGAGCTTCAGGCCAGGGTAAGACTTTGTCTTACAAGGTATTTAGGGTTGCTGTATAATAATAAAAAATTTACGTATCTAAGTTACTGTGCTACTGTAGCTGACCTGCCTTCTGTGTTCCTCTTAGCATTTCATCCAAAAACAGCAGGAGACTAAGTAAAGGATTAATTGTTATAGCCTTTTACCTTTTGTCCAGACACTGTTTGGTTATCAGGCTAGGGGGAAGTTTGGAGCAATAAACCTCTTTTGAACCAGAAGAGAATAATGCTTGAAGAAAGAAAAACTTTTACAGAATCAAATATGCATAAACTCATATTAAATTCATATACAGATTCACTCATGTGCATTTATACATTTCCATTCAAACCAGTTGGGCCCTGCTTACATGCATTCTCACAATTAAATACTTCCACACACACCCATACTTACATACATATATGGAGCAAAAGACCAAGCACCAGTGCAGAAAGAACTCACTCACTGGATGAAAAATGAGCTCCAATCTTTATTGCACAGAGAAAGAAGAAGCTTCTACCCTTTTAATGCAAAATGAATTAAACCCACGTTTGTAAGAAGAAAGCTTTGTTCCTTTTAATAAGACTCAGCCTGCCTTGTTATTAAGACGGGACCTGTTCTGTTCCATGGTGAGGAGAAGCTGCCTGCTCCTTCTCTCTCTGCAGCTTCTTCCTTTTTCCTCTCCCACTGCATTCTGCACATTACTCTCTTAGTTTTTATGTTACTATAGTTTCTAAGTTAGTCCACTCTGCATTCTCCTTCTAATCTTGCTCTCCTCCTGCTCTGAGGTCACAATAATGCGCTAACTCTCAGCCTTTTCTCCCAATGCTGTGCCTGTACTTCTAAGTTCTTCTTGAGTTCAGTTCTGTCTAAAAAGTGTTCTGTCTAAAAACTTCTCCTCAGCTCAGTTCCTCTCACAGCTCAGTTCCTCTCAGCTCACTTCTGACTCTTCTCTTTGTCCTCAGCACTTAAACATCTTTCAGAATACATGACCACATGTTAAAAAGTTCATCACAAGTTCACATATAAAATCAAATCATAAATTGAAATAGAAGTTTACAACAGAGAATGTTTACATGTATATCTACTAGGAGTAATGATCTGACTAAATGCCCATCACCTGCCACAGCTCCACAGGTTCACTGAAAGCTTAAAACCATAACTAAATTATTAGTGAAGTTTTGTATAGATAAACCTAGTCAATATTTTATCTTCTGACCTAGCACCTATAATAAACTGTTAGTTCTCTTTTTATGATCTTTGGTTAATAGTTTTATAACCTCTTCGAATGTGCTCTGAGTAGGAGAAAGTCTGGTTACTAAGAGGCAATTAACTGGTGACACTTGGGAGACTGAGTTTTCATTGCAGTTTTGACTATCAGAAAAGGGTCTAATAGCACTCCCACTATAAAAGAGTTTAATAATCACTGATATAATTTTAGGAATTCTTATAGGATCATCATTAAGACTTAAGAAATCATCTATATGTCTATATAGCATCACTACAAGACAGTATATCTTTATAGATCTGTAGAGATTTGCTCAAAAGTGGTGGGCTAACACCTAGTTATTGCTATATATGTTTAATAATAACAAGAAAAGCATATTAATAGCAGAAATCTTTCCTAAAATGAATTCTCTTAGGCCTTGCCTATAATTGCAAATCTGTCTCAGATTAATCTGAAACAGACCATCTCAGGAAGATCACCTGCTAGTTATTAGCTTGTCCTATTATGGCTCCTGACAAGGAATCAGTGTCTAGATTATAGTTTCAGTCATATCCTTGCATAGAGCTTCCAGGAAGGGGTGCAGGTTTAGGAGAAGAGAAATAAGAAAAAAAAAACAACAAACCAACCAACCAACCCAGGCCTCTCTTCTTACATCTTGACTTCTGGCCAGGCAGAGCAAAAAATATTTTGGCTTAAACAATTGTGGCATCTTTGGCCTCTGACAAGGATGAAGCAAGCTACTGACAGGGCCAAGGACATTTTTGGCTTTTAGTCAAGAATCTCTGACTAAAGCACTTTAAGGTAAAATTCCTGTCTCTGTTCATTGGCTTTTGTAAGAGACAGGTAGCGCAAACCAAATTCTGGTTACGAAGACTGGTGTCTGTAGTACTCAGGTGGGCACAGGAATCATCCTTTTACCGTAAACTTTCTTCTCCCTCCTCTTTTGATTTTTTAAGACAGGGTTTCTCTGAGTAGCCTGACTATTTTGGAACTTGCTCTGTAGACCAGGAGGGCCTTGGACTAAGATTCCCCTGCCTATGCTTCCCAAGAGCTGGGATTAAAGGCTTGTGCCACCACGCCTGGATCAGATGTGGCTTTTAGTGTTGGGTAGGGTTATTAGGTGATGCAGTCAGGTCATTCTTCCATCAGACCTATGTAAGAAACCTCACAAGTATAGCAGTGGTTCCAACTGTGCTGTTCATACCCTGGTGCAGCTAGGAAACAAAGTCCTTGACAGGCACCTGGGTAAACACACAGGTGTATAGGCAAGAAAAGTGGACTTGGAGACCACTGAGCAAGGGAAATGATCCCATCCCTCTAGGAACAGGCAGGAGTTTTTATAGTTTAGTTTTAACAAGCTTGAGGCATAGACCAGGAGAACAAAGGTAATTTTAATGCGTGGAGGTCAGAGGACAAGTTGTGGGAGTTGCTTCTCTCCATGTACCATGTGGGTCCTGAAGACAGAATTCAGGTCCTAAGGTTTGGTGGCCACCTGGTCAGCTCACGCCTCTGTTTTTACTTCTACCCAAGGCATCTCCAGAGTTACCATATAATCTAATTGACTAAGAGAAAAAAAATAGGAGGGGTGGGGTGGGCAGAAAATTCTTAGCAATCTTTTGAGATGTAATATTTATATGGCTAATGCTATGATGATTGTGGCTGTCTGAGAAGCACACTCATACCCTGACGTGTGTCCTACTTTCTTCCCAGAGACTTTCCTTTCCTCAAGACTCTGCTTCATGAACTAGCTAGTCTTGAAATTCCTCGGGGTTGCTGTGGATGGCAGTGTGGAGCCTCTCACTGGTGCCCCCAAACATTCCTCCCTCAGTTCTGTGCCTTCACACTGGACTTTAAGCCAAGGACCCTGACAATTCCACCTTCTCCATTTTTGGCATTTCTGGGCTAAGACGTTCCCAGTTTAATGCAGCTACTTCTTGGGAAGCCTGGCTTTTTTTTTTTTTTTTGTAAATTCTCACCTAAGTGAGGCCATCTCCAGAATTCTTGGTTGGGTAAAGAATTTTACTACGTGGCTTTGGTTTTTTTTTTTATTTTTTAAAATTTATTTATTTATTTTGGTTTTTTTCGAGACAGGGTTTCTTTGTGTAGCCCTGGCTGTCCTGGAACTCACTCTGTAGACCAGGCTAGCCTCGAACTCTCGAACTCAGAGATCCACCTGCCTCTGCCTCCCAAGTGCTGGGATCAAAGGCGTGCGCCACCACCGCCCGGCTGTGGCTTTGTTAATATTAAGTATTAAGCGACTTAATATAATCAAGTCATCTATTGTAGACCAACTGCACGCAGTACATACATTCAGGTGCTCTGCCCAGGGGTGTGTGTGTGTGTGTATATATGTGTCTTGGGGTGGTGGTGGAGAGCGGCAATAAAGGTACTTTTTTACTTTTCTGTTTTAAGATGTGCCAGATGAATAAGGCAGTTAACACGTTTAGCTAGTCATTCATTGGCAGGCCCCTTTGTCTTTAAAAATAAGTTGGTTTCAGAATGGGCAAAGGACTGAGATGCATATTTTACATATCAAAGCCTCCAGGTTTTCCTAACATTCCTTAGTCCCTACCTGGCATTCCCTGCTCCCAACCCTGAACTTTTCATCCTAAGGGCTGGGCTGTCCTTCCCCAAGAGGCTCCTCCTTATATAATCTAGGCATTTTGGTCTCTCCTACTCAATCTACGCACACGCACGCCCTCCGCCCTCCCGATCCCCCTGGGCGACTCCCCTGGCCTCAATCCTTGGGGCCAAGTGAACTGGACCGAGAACAGTTTCTCAATAAACCTGCCTTTAATACAATTTAATCTGGTTTGAACTGGCCCATTTCACCAGCGGCGACAGAGAAATAACCGATCAATATCTTTTAATTCATAAAACTAGATAACGTCTGCGGAGAATGATACAAGCCACCCAAATGGCTACAGGCTGATCACAGAATCCAACCTAGCTTGTGACAAAGGCCGCGTGCAGTTCTTTCTGGTCAACGCACGTGGCAAACCCTTGCTTACAAACAAACGGCTCAGCAAGGCGCAGGCGCCGTTGGCCTTGCCCGCCCCCTCAGAGGCGGTGCTTATCACAGGCCTAGGGCGCATGCGCTAAGGTCTGTATCAACGCTCCGCCGCGGCCGTGGCGACGAAGATTTCATCTGGGCAGCCGCGTGGTCCTGGGTGAGTGTTCGGCAGCCGGACAGAAGGCTGGGCGAGAGTGCCTGCGCCTCGGGCTCTCCATGCGGCTGTGATCCCGCGCCGTGGGCTTCTAGCCTTCTGCCGCGGAGCCCATTGGAGCGAGCGGCGGCTTCGCCCGTGGGCCGGGTCTCTTCCGGCAGGCGCACCTGAAACCGGAAGTGACGCGTGACGCACGCTCTTACCTGCGCGGCGAGCAGGGAGCTGTCTCGGCGCGGACCCGCCCCGACATCTGCTTCAGGGTTTGTGAATGGGGCCGGGCGCGCTGGGCCTGCAGGGCTCTGTCGGGTCTGGATGGTGTCCTTGAGAGGGAGTGTCAGGGTGGTGCATGCCCGGCGCCTTCTGTATTGATGCAAAGTTGAGTGGGAAGGACTGAGGTGTGAATGTTGTAACCCGGTACCCCTCGTAGTGTCGTCTTCACCGCTGTCCTCTTCCAAGCTCTTGTCGTTTTCCTCCTGACTACCTCCTAATACTGCATTGCTATTTCTCTATTATCCAAAACTGGTCTTTTACAAGTATTAATTGGGTCCTGTCGCTGTCACCCATCTTCGAGAGCCATCTCAGTGAAATAAAATTTAAGAGCATGTTTTTTCCGGACCCGTGTGACTTGTCCCTTCTTGCCTCAAAACCGTGCTTATGTACAGATAACTCTCCAGACCCCAATCCAGCTCGATCGTGGCGGCAGAAAGCCCAAGATAGAAGTCTGGTTTCCCAGCCTTGTAAGTTTTGGATGTATCTGAAGCGACTCTGAAAGATTTACGCAGTGAGCAATACTCTAATCAGCTCTTGAATTTTGGTTACAAAAGTTCTCATTGTGTTCTAGCCTTTTCTCATTATCTCATTTTGAGACACTAACTCTGCTTTTGACCTTGATTATATCCCATTAAGTTTTTTAGAATGTCACTTTGTCAGAGAGGCCACCTCACACCTCCCTTCACAGTTTCACTTAGGCCTCTCGTATCGTGGAGTTATGTAATTTCTTTTTATGGCCATCACTAGAGTTGCACGTTATATAACTATATTAAGGCCATTTTTTAAATGCCTAGCCTTCCAAGGGACTAAGCTCTGCCCAGGGGAACTCCTGTGCCTTATGCCTCGTGATTGAGTCTATCAGTAACCGTTTGTTAATGCATGATTTATTTCACCTCTGAAACTTCGATGCTTTGATCAAATCCTTCACGTTTACATAACACCCCCATGTGCATGCTCACACCCACACATGCAAACTCTGACTATAGCTAGAAGCTAAATGGCTTCTTGCCCTCTTCCATTTCCTTTCTGATCAAAATAAAAAAATAAATAAAATAAGAAACCCATCCCACCACGAACTCCAAGCTGTTACTCCAGCTGCTCTTCTTGGCACCTTTCAATTCTTATTCCTTTGTCCTACCACTTCTCTCTGACCATCCCAAGGAATGACTTTCTTCACGGCCTGCTGGTTATAGGAGGAGGGAACTGTGCAGCCCTGGAGTGTTGCCAATCCATCATTTTGGAAAGCACACACCTGTAGTGTTCATTTCTCAACACCCTACTCTTACTCTTCTCATCCCCACCCCCATCCCAACTTTGATTGACTAAGGAAAGGCCCAGGCTCCTTCCTTATGGAGTTAGCTTCTCTGTCAACTCCCTTTTGCATCTCTGGGCACCAGACATCGCTCTCCAGCTAGAGGCAGATAGAAGTGCTGTGCCTTCTCTTCTGGACAATCTCTGGTTGCTGCACATTTTTCTGTTCAAGTCATCTCTGAAGGACATTATATTGTTTTCTTGCCATATTTTTTTTTCCTCTTTACTTTCCAACAAAACCTATGGTTATTTATCATTTCTTCTTCCTTACATAGTCAAGGTCCTTAAAGCAGTAGGTTGCCTCCCTGTGTCCTTTTCCTTGCTGCCTGCTGACCTCAGACTGTCTGGTTTTTAGTTTTTGTGTCTGTTGCTCTACTGGATTCAACCATTCACCCTCCCACCCACTTTGTTCGGGTTGCGTGTTTTCAAATGGCATAGCTGTGTGGCTCAGGCTGGCCTGGAACTCACTGTGAGGCTCCAACCTCTCAAGTGCTGGGATTACAATGTGTGCCACCATGTCCAATGAGAAACTGCTTTTACTGGTATCCTTAGTGAGCTGCCAGAGTTCAAATCGACAGAATCCTGCTTTTCTCTAATCTATTCATTCATTTTTTTAAATTGTTGCTTTACTCTTTAAAAATCAATTTCCTCAAAATTTTATTTGTAAATTTATCTTTAATTAAAATGCTATTGATTTTGGTTTAATTGTCATTTTAACTTAAATCCCTTTATACATGAAAGATGAAAAAAGAAGTTTCTTTAAACTCTGAGCATGTGGATTTTTAATTCCAGCTCTTACAGGCAGTCTCTAAACCAGAGCTTACCCTTCTGTTGGAGGGTGACTTTTCCTTTGAAGATAATTAGAAAGACCCCAAAGGGAGGAATATTCTCTTTTTTTAATCATTACCCTTCTCAGTGATGATCTCTGGAACCTGTCAGAGCTTTGGGACTTCTGGGGCTGCTTGATCTTAGAACTATGTCCACATCTGCCCAACCCTTCCTTTCCTCCTTGAACTCAGATTTACTTTTGGACCACATGGTATATCAGTATTGTGACTTGTGACGAACTCAGCAATCTCTACTTCAGCTTCCTGTCTGAGAGTCATTGTTGATTGAATCCACTTGTGACTCAGTCACTGAGGCCGCCCTTTTATTTTGGACTCTGGTGTAAACCTTACTTCCTTTCAGCAGATACCGACCCATACAATTGTTCTCCCTCTTCTTCCACATGGATCCCTGAGTCTTGAGGGTAGAGATTTGGTGACTGCATTTGAAATGGATGTATCTTTGAGGATTTTTCACTTAATCTTCAAGCTTCTGATATACTCCATTTACCAGATGGGAGTTCAGCTTAGAAGTTCCTAGTGTGATTTCTATAATTCTCACATTACTGATAAATGCATACTATAGTTGGCCAGGTTGCTCTAACACAAAGTTTCTGTGCCACAGCCCAGTGAAAGTGCTAACTGTCAAGACAGCAGCTGTGTCATTTTACCTGTTTAGACCATTTTGTGACTATCATTTAGGATTGGGCCACTGGCTTTCTTAGGTGGCTGCCCGTGTGTCCTTTGTTACAGTCACTGTATTTATTTTGGTTAGTTTTTCTTGTTCATCATCATTTGTTTTCTTTAAAGTTAGTATTTAGAAACTTTAACTTATTTAATTGAAAGGTTATTGATGTTTTGAGAAACTCATGCACTTTACAAATGTTTAAGACACTGCATACTGATCAATAACCAAAAGGCTCATTAATGTTTTTTTTTTTCTTTTAGATAGTTTGTAGAGGATGCCCCATGAGGAAATCCCCAACTCCACTCACCCTCAGGAGCAAGACTGTTTACCAGGTCAGCATGTCAGTGCTGACAAAGACAAGTCTGTTGGGCAGGAGAGTGGTAGAGTCTCAGAGGCTGGGGAGTGCCTCTACTCTACTTCCTGTGAGTTTGGGCCATCCACATCTGCTGAAGCTTGTGTATTGGCAGCTACAAGGCGGGGGCCGGCCCTGCTACACATTGATCGGCATCAGATCCCTGCAGTGGAGCCCAGTGCTCAGGCCCTGGAGCTGCAGGGCCTGGGTGTGGATGTCTATGACCAGGCTGTCCTGGAGCAAGGCGTGCTTCAGCAGGTGGACAGTGCGATGCATGAGGCCAGCCGTGTGGCCCAGCTTGCTGATGCGGAGAAGGAGTATCAGTCAGTCCTGGATGACCTCATGTGAGTGTGAGCCTTCTGTTTTCAGAGTTTGCATTGAAATATGACAGGGAAATTCAGGTAATAGAAAGCTGAAATGTATAGAACCTCTCATCTGGGAAATGGTTGGTTAAGACAATCTTCTATTTACCTTCTGAGCTCCTGTCCCTCCCTTGAGGAATAACGTTGCCTATAGTTAGGCTTACATCAATCCCTGAAGGCCTAGGGTCTTGAAGAGCAAGGTCTTCCTGGCAGCATGTGCAGGTGCTCTTCAGAGTGAATTTTGGGAGTTTCATTCTTGAGACACAGGGAACGCTTGGGACCTACCATTGCCTTTTTCTGTCTCCTGTAGTTTCTAGTCTGCTATTCTCAAACAATGTTTATTCTTTTGGCAATTTTTTGGATTTAATTTATAAAAATATTGAGACTAAACTTCCTGCCCTTCATTTTTAGTGTGTGTTCTATTTTTGGCTCTAAAGAAAGATTCAGTCTTGAAGACTTCATTTGTGTTGTAGAGGAAAGAGACATGGGCTCTGCTGAGTGAAGTATTTTGGTGGGGAAGATGTAGGCCAGCCAGCCTCAGGGAGAGGCCAAGGGCAGGGAGGCAGGGCAGTATGGAGCCCACTCATCCTCCTGGGTGATGTCTAGGAAGGTCAGACATAGAAGCAAGAATAACTAAGGACTGGCCTGAGTGGAAAAATGGGCAACCCCAGTGCATGGCTAGAGACGGAGGCAGGTGAGTGAGCACAGAGCTAGAGGCATTACCCAGTGGTGAGGCTGTTGTGAGGTTTCTGTGGATGCACAAAGAATGTTTCTGTTAACAGTTCCTTGATAGATTCTTTTTTTTTAATTGAAGTCACGATTATTGTTATTATTGTTATTTGTTTATACCCCCCGAGTAGCACATCTTTTGTTCAAGTGTTTTGAAACCTTTCTTTTTTTTTTAGGTTTTTCGAGACAGGGTTTCTCTGTGTAGCCCTGGCTGTCCTGGAACTCACTCTGTAGACCAGGCTGGCCTCGAACTCAGAAATCCGCCTGCCTCTGCCTCCCAAGTGCTGAGATTAAAGGCGTGCGCCACCTCCGCCTGGTTTTGAAACCTTTCTTGTTCTGTGCAGTGGCCCACCTTCTAAAATTGCTCTCAGAACTGTGCCCACTTTTTGTAGAGGACAGTACTGCCTTAAGTAGCCAGTAACTTACATCGTTACCCTGAAGTCTGCAAAGAATACAAACAGAAAATTATGAGATTGATTTTCTCTTTTAAAAATTAGAAGTAGCAATTTTGTAGTATTTTAGAAGCAACTGATTTTCAGTTGTTCTTTTCTCTTTACACCATGAAGTCTACTGTTACAGTAGAAGCATTTGCAGTTCTATGAAAGGAAAATATTTACATAGGTAAGTGATTCACTTAAGAGAATAATTAAGCATTTTTAGGACTTTTTCAAACTTTGGGAGGCTTCCATGTTATGTATCAATTTCTTCATATATAAAAGAAAACTTGGCCTGAGTTCTGTCCTTACCCCACTGTCTTGAATAAATAGACTAAAAACAAATGCTTGTAGAAATGAGTCAGCTGGCAAGTAGGCATGGGCTGGTCTAAACATCCCAACAAGAGGGGACTGCAGGAGTGCATTCTGCTTCAGTTTTGTTCAGTTTTCACTCAGAAGAAATAAAATGTTTTTAGCATTTTTCTCTACTTTATGCTAAGAAAATGTTACCATGGAGAAAAACACAACTATTCTTATTTTTTAGGTCGTGTACAACATCCCTGAGGCAAATCAATAAAATTATAGAGCAACTTAGCCCTCAAGCTGCCAGCAACAGAGACATCCACAGGAAACTGGATTCTGTGAAACGGCAGAAGTATAACAAGGTGATGCTAAGTAACCTGCCGCATGCCACAGTACATTTAAGTACTAGTTAAGTGCTTAGGAAGGATTCCGGAGAGTATGCTTGTTATGGGAAACAACATTATAATAGAAGCATATTTTTTAAGAAGAATGATTTTTATTTTAAGTGAATGAGTGTTTTGCCATTATGTGTACTGTATGTGCCTGGTGCATGCAGAGGCCAGAAGAGGGCACTGGATCTCTTGTAACTGATGTTACAGAGAGTTGTGAGCCACCATGTGGGTTCTGGGAACTGAACCCAGGACATCTGTAAGAGTAGTAATTGCTCTTAACCTCTGAGCTACCTCTAGTCCCACACTAGAAAAATTTGGGATGCCTTTTGTCTGTGTGATCTGTCTGTGCTATACAATATTTTTAATAACCCATATGTACAGATACACATCGTGTATATACATGGATGCACACATTCATACATATGTACTCGAGAGTAGTTCTTGTGTGGTTTTGTGGTTCCTTACCTCTGTCATAATTAACTCTACCATTTCAACCTCCGCTTGGGCTCTTACCTCTCACTCAGTCTCTGTTTTTTCTGAATTTAGCTGTCCTGCTCAGATCTTGTTTATCTTCATTTCAGCAGGTACGGTCATCACCACTCACACGCTCCATCTCAGCTGTACGGGTTTGCCCATAGAGGCAGAGAACTCAGGGTAGGAAGGGACTGTTGCCTCTGAGATTACTTTTCTGAAGCTTTTAAGAATAGGATTTATATACAGCTTTGTGAAGGCTGAAACATGTTTTGGGCTTTGTATACCACCCTCTGTGTGGAAGTTGATGGTGGTAGCTGGGAAGGACTAACATTGATGGTTCTGGCTCCCAGCCCGCAGGGGTCTCTGAGCTTGCAGCTGACTGAGTGAAGCTCGTGGAGTACTTGTGCCTGTGAGTTCCACTTGAGGGCTGTGTGTAGACTCAGTCATAGAGCCTTCTTTTATTATCTCACTGGGCTTTCATTTCTACAACAGCAGCCCAGATGTCCAAGCGGATGGTAGTTCAGTGCAGATGGGGCCTTCATAAATCAGGAAGGACATTTGGTTTCTTGTGGGCTGGAATTTTAAGGTGGAGAGAACCAAACCTTAGGTGACTGGATCATGGTCTGACCTAATTATATTCCTGTGTTTAGGATTTTCAGAGGGAAAGTGCTTTAAGCAGGGTACAGGAACACTGAGAACAACAAATTGCAAGTCATGGTAGCATACTGTTTGTTTCCCTTTGTCCCCCACACTCATGCTAGAGATCAGACCCAGGGCCTGTGTGTACAAGGCAAGAACTCTTTGGTGCATGAAGACAGCTGAAGCACTTAAGGCTTAATCGAGGCTTTAGGAAGGCCACATATCTGAGTTCTGACAGTGTCAAGGGAGACAAAGAGTAGTCTGAGGAACATGGGAAGAAAGGCTTAGCAAAATGTCTTTTAAAACGCTGCCGTTCATGGCCAGGTCTCCAGAGGCCTGACTTTGTAACTGTTTCAGCTTTTATAGTTTTATTTCTTGTTACTCTGGGCTGTTCTCTGCTATAGCCGGTTGGCCACTTAGGTCAGAAGCGGAGTTTAATGATGTATGCACAGTGTACAGAGGGAACCCAGAGAACATTTCCACCTCCCAAGTCAGTGCATGTGAGCTCAATGCTCAGTCCCAAGGGCGAGGGTCGTCCGTGGGTGTGGCTGGCTGTGCAGGAATACTCAGGGCTTTGGTGCTGCAGGCAAGCTGCAGGAAACTAGGAATTGTTCAGCTAGTGCTCACTAGTGATGTTACCATGTGGGGTTTTAGTTTACTCTTAATCAAAGTTTAAAATTGCACAGTGCAGTCTTCGAGTGTTAACAATAAACCACTGTAATGCATATCTTGTGTTTAACAATAAACCACTGTATTGCATATCTTTTATTTGGGGTTTACAACTTTAGGAGCAACAGCTAAAGAAGATAACTGCAAAACAGAAACGTCTCCAGGCCATTCTCGGAGGGGCCGGGGTACAAGTGGAACTGGATTATGCCAGCCTAGAGGAAGAAGATGCAGGTGAGGATGTGGGGGCAGCTTGGCATCCTCTTAATTGATGCCTGGTGCCTGTCTGTATTCAGGGGAGTTGTCTTGTGAGACTTTTGAGACTAACATGTTGCTTTGCCTTTGTGTCAGATGGGTCTTCTGGGGAAATCTTATTTTTCTGTGGAATCAGAGCTCTTAAGGCACACATGCTTTTTAGAGACTAAAATAAAATGTTAACCTGGTTCTTTCTGGTGGTTACTGGCATACACTTGTGTTAGACTTAACAAATCAGAAATTTGTACATTCATATACATTAACTTGATAAAGAGAACGAGTATCTTGATTGGGTTCATTTTGTAATCTTAGCATCCCCTGTCAGTATCAGTAGGATTGTTGTTCCTTATCTTTCAGGAGCATAGTAGGCTTTCCAAGCATTCCTTCTGTTAAGGAAAGGCATTCAGGTTAGATCATGGCCATTTAAAGTTCTCTTTAGGACAGCTGTGCTTTGTTTGGAAAATCTCTGGGAATGTATAAACTCCAAAACTAAATATTTTTTTCTGTGTGTCTGTATGTACACACTGTTGGTTGTTGCTTGGCCAGTTTCTGCTTTAAACATAGATTAAAGATTAAATTTAGCCGGGCGGTGGTGGCGCACGCCTTTAATCCCAGCACTTGGGAGGCAGAGACAGGCGGATTTCTGAGTTCGAGGCCAGCCTGGTCTACAGAGTGAGTTCCAGGACAGCCAGGACTATGCAGAGAAACCCTGTCTCGAAAAACCAAAAAAAAAAAAAAAAAAATTAAAGAAAGATTAAATTTAGAGTTTGGTTGAGCTGGGCAGTGGTGGCTCACACTTTTAGTCCCAGCACTTGGGAGGCAGAGGCAGGCGGATTTCTGAGTTCAAGGCCAGCCTGGTCTACAGAATGAGTTCCAGGACAGCCAGGGCTACACAGAGAAACCCTGTCTCAAAAAAACAAAACAAAAAAACAAGAACAAAAAAGAGTTTGGTTGATGAAGCAAACATTCTTTGCTAGCTCCTGGGACTTTTTTTCACATAGACAAGAGGAGTTGTATGAAGAATGTAACACTGGAGAAAACAAATGTGCCCCTCCCTCCCCATCACTTAAAACAAGATCTTACTGTGTGCCTCAGGCTAGTTTCAAAATTGTGGCCCTCTTACATCAGGTGTATGTCTTCACTCCTGGCTTTAGACGTGCTTCTAAAGTTCGGTCTCATAGGTTCTAGTATTCTACTGTAATTTCTGCCACGTGGGCACTGGATTTCTCATTGGTAAAGAAGATCTTCCCTGTCTATCTGAAGCCTGAAGTTCTTTAGTTCTGTTGATACAGAGATCATGGGTAACTCTGCAAATCCTGATGCTTCTTCACCTCTGCTGAGTTCAGCCTGACGGTGCCTTGAGAGCGTGTCAGACTCCTGCTTCCTGGCTTCTCTTCTGCCCTCTGGTTAGTCCTGGTTAGTTATTTTTGGTAGCTTATCCTGCACTATCTTAAATGCTGATACTGCTTAGGACATGTTGAGTGCTCGTGTTGCTTCCTCTCCCTGACTTTCTCATCCATTTCCCAAGGGTTTTGCAGCCGTCTAAGATCTGATACCTTACAAATCCATAGCCTCTTTTTTCTGAACTCTTGGTTCCCAGGATACTTTCCCATTTGACCACTAGCCATTACTGGAGACTGGGCCCTGTCTGTAGAGGCCATAGAGCTGACTGCCAGGGTAGCCAGGCTTTGGGGGCCCAGCTCCATACTGCTGGGTGTGGTCCTCTCTCAGCCTATCTGAAGCCATGTAGCAGGTGTCAGGGGTGTGTTGCCTACATGCTTCCCTGGGGACATGGCTTCACTGCTTTGCACATGATGCTCATGCAGCTTAGCAGCAACCCCTCCCTGCATGTAGGTTGTATGAGGACAGATTGGAGATCTGCCTTAGCCAGTGTGATCTGCAGGACAGCAGGTCCACTTGCTTACCTTCTATTTAGCCATACACAGTCCTGTTTGAATAGAGGAAAAGAAACCCAGTGAGTAAAGATGGGAAAGAAGGAATCCATCATTATTCACAGACATCATAGTTTATATAGAAGATTCAAAAGAATTGCTGTGCAATTACCACAAGACTTATAATAATAGCATTGAATACATAGTATATAAAAATTAGTTATTTTTGTATGGTAGGAAAAATAAAAGATAACACTTAATACAGGTACCAGTTATAATCCAAATACCTAGAAATAAATCTTAGGAGAAAAAGCAGTTCCACAATGGTTTATACATCTAAAAACTACAAAATGTTATCGACAAAGAAAGCCTAAGTAAATGTGGTGACTTACTGTGGTTGATGTTGGGTGATTCTGTATTATAAAGATGACATTTTTAGCCAGTTGTAGTTTCAGTGCTACCCTAATATAAATTTAAGCCTTTAAAAAAAAAAAAGACAAATGGCATGTATAAGACATAGGCTGAAGGTAGAGGTTATTGACAAGCTAGTACCAAAATCTGCAATCTCAACTCTTGGAAGGCTGAATCAGCAGGATTGCTATGAATTTGAGGCCAGTGTAGCCTACAGAGTAAGACCCTGTCTTAACCTCTCCTTACCTAAGAAAAGAAAGCAAAATACCAAGGTCTAGTATAAAACTGTAGTGACTAAGTGTTGTATACACAGTCCGGCTGATGGATGGGATGGAAGGCTCCAGAAACAGGCCCACCTGTGTATAGTCACTTGATTATGATGAAGATCGCAAGCAGCGCAATGATGAACACTCTTTTGACCAAAAGACTGGTTTACGTGAAAATAAAAGGAATCTGGATCCATTATATATATTACCTTCAAAAATACACCCTAGGCAATTTATAGATCTGAATGTTAGTGATAAAAAGGCTTTGAGAACATAACACAGGGAGACACTATCATGATCCTGGGGCAGGTGAGGCAAGGACTGAAGCAAGACCAGAAGTGTAAAGTGTGCACAGGAAGAGAACAGTTAAATAGCTAAATGGACTCTAGAATAGCCAGGAGCTTCTGCCTGTCAAGAGAGTGTTCAGACTGGGAGAAGGGAAGCTGCAGAAGAGAAGGTGGGAGAAGGTATTTGTAGAACATGCACAGGACTTGAATTTATGGTGCAGTTAAAAAAATTAGAAGAAAGGTTAAGACAGAGACTAAAAACAAGATTTTGTACAGAAAAGCAGTTGTCCATAAGGCACGATTTGAAAGGCCTTCTGTTTTCACTGGGAATCTCTGAAGTCATGGAATGGCAAGAATGTAGGCCAATTTGAACTCTTAAACACTACTGAAACTTAAGTAGTGCCACTGGCAATTCTTTCCAGCAGTATCTGCTAAACCTTAGCATACTGAAGAATCAGATGTTATTACCAAAGGATGTATTCAGAGTATTCATGGTAGCCTTGTTCTAAAACCTAGTAGCCCAAGCCTTGAGACCATCCAGACTACGCTAACAGTGGAAAGAGAAAGTTGTATAATCAAAGCATATTTAACAGGTAATACATTTTAATTCAATTGAACATTAAATCAGTGTAGATTTCATCCTGAATACCAGGCATAGCAGGCAGACAGGGACACAGAGCCAGGCATGAGTCATCCTTAGAGTCAGGCCTGTCAGTGTCTCAGGGGAGGCTGGAGGCTGAGAATGTGGCAGAGAGGGCGTGCCAGGACCATTAGTTCTTGATTTCTATTACTTGATCTGGATAGAACTATAGATTCTTGGAGCTTTTTTTCTGAATAGTCGTTAGGACTTAGGATTTATATACTCTGATGTATATTTTATTTCAATGCAAGGTTAGTGGGGAACTGGCTGTAGTGACATTGGCCTCGTAGGTCTTTTGTTTTCTGATTACATAATAAAGTATTTTGTTGGAGGGGTTCAATTAGGAGAAGGAGCATTTCTGGATGACTATAGTTGACATATCTTCATATTTAGTCTATCTTTTCAAGTTATTCACATCATAAGTCTAGCATGGTATCCAGTAGATGTATTTGTGTGTATGTGTGTATGTGTGTGGGTGTATGCATGAATACATGCATAGCATGTGTGCATGTGGAGACCAAAAGAGGATATGAGGAGTTTTCCTCTGCAACTCTGTACCTTATTTCTTTTTTTTTAAATTTTTTTTTATTTATTTATTATATGTAAGTACACTGTAGCTGTCTTCAGACACCCCACAAGAGGGCATCAGATATCATTGCAGATGGTTGTTAGCCACCATGTGGTTGCTGGGATTTGAACTCGTGACCTCTGGAACTGTACCTTATTTCTTGAGATAGGGTTTCTCACTGAACCTTGGGCTTGCTCTTTTGGCTAGGCTGGCTAGCCAGTGAGCCTGCAGTATCTGCTTGGTCTCTGACCTAATATTGAGGTTAGAGCACTGTGATCATGCCTGGCTTTCCAGGAACTGAGGATGTAAACTTAGGTAAGTTCTTGTGTTTTTAGAGCAAGCCGTCTCCCCAGCTCTCTGATGGACCTGTCTGCATTGAGAGGAGCTTGTTCTCATTGTTGTTCAGTGTGCTGACGTTGGTCACATCTCGCTATTGAGCACTCACTACATTGCAGCTTTGGCATTCAGCTTTCCTATTCTGAAGTGAACCAGGCATGTCCCACCTGTGTCCTTTGGGCCACATGTATCCCCAGATAGCCATGAATACAGCCCAACTAGATGACAGTGTCTTGTGGCAATATTAAAAGGTTAAACAGTTGGATACTTGTGACTAGTTGTGACGATGAAGGAGGTGCAGTGCTTTTCTGTCTTTCTTCAATAGGCAGAAATCTAAGAAACTAAGGTCCATCTGAATGTTGGGCAAAGCAGTGACATAAGAATATAGGGGATCACTTGTCATGGCTTACTTCTTAACTGATGAGCAGGCACAGATAAGTTTGTCTGTGAATAACCAATAATGTGTAGATAAGCCTGCCTTTGTACAGAAAGTATGACTGTAGTGTGATACATTTTTATTCACATTCAAAGTTAGACAAAAGAACTAATGTATATATAGTAGGTAAACATTTGGCGTACTTATGGGGTGTCATGTGATATTTCAATGCATATATATTGTGTATTGTGTAAATTAGGTTAAACATATTCATCTTTTCAAAGATTTATCATTTTTTTAATCATGAAAAACATCTAAAACCTCATCCCAGCTATTGAAACAACACAATCTTGTCACTACTCTGTGCACTCCTTCTCCCATGGAATGGCACCACAGACTTCCCCTTCTATTAACTGGGACTTGGTACCATGGGTCAGCCTTCTCTTTCCTCCCTGATGATGTTCTCAGCTTTCGATAGTTCCCATTCTACTCTCAGCTTGGTGAAGATCAGCTCTTCTAGATCCACATGTGAGGGAGAGCATGCAGTACTTGTTTTTCTATGCCTGGCTTGTTTCACTTCACATAATCTTCAGTTCTGTGTCACTGCAGGTGTAGAACTTCATCCTTTAAAAAGTGGCTGCATTGTGTTTGTGTACCACATTATACAGCGTCATATTTTGGGGAAAAGTTACTGAGAATATATTACACGTGGGTTGTAAACTTCACTCTATGCCTCAGTCTACTGATTTGTTTTGTGAGTTCCTGGAAATTCTTACCATCTGTGAGTGAGTGGTTGTTTTTCTGTGTGATCTTTGAGAGTTTTCATTGTTGTTTTCCTTTCAGAGCCAGGGCCATCTTGTCTTGGCAGTATGCTCATGCCTGCCCAGGAGACCGCCTGGGAAGAGCTTATCCGCACTGGCCAGATGACACCGTTTGGTACCCCAGCTCCTCAGAAACAGGAGAAAAAGCCTAGAAAAATAATGCTCAATGAAGCATCAGGCTTTGAAAAATATTTGGCAGACCAAGCACAACTTTCTTTTGAAAGGAAGAAACAAGCTGCTAATAAAAGAACAGCTAAAAAAGCTGTGGTTATATCGGAGTCAAGCCGAGGACCAAATGAAATCAAGCCAGACCAGAGAAGCCAAGCACTCTCTCAAACAGATAAGCGCCTGAAGAAGCACATCAGGAAGCTCCAGAAGAGGGCGCTGCAGTTCCAGGGGAAAGTGGGATTGCCAAAGGGGAAGAAACCTCTGGAGCCTGAGGTGAGGCCAGAGGCCAAGGGAGACACTGAGGGTGAGGAGTCTGGGTCCTCTCCCACTGATGGGGAGGAGGAGGAAGAGGAAGAGGAAGAGGAAGGGGTAGCCAGCCTGTCTTCCGATGATGTTAGCTATGAGCTGAAGCCACTTCGGAAAGGGAAAAAATGCCAGAAGAAAGTCCCAGTACAGGAAATCGACGATGACTTTTTTCCAAGTTCTGAGGAGGAAGATGAAGCTATGGAAGGAAGAGGAGGAGGCCGTAAGGTAGCCAGGCGCCAAGACGATGGAGATGAGGATTATTATAAGCAGCGGTTAAGGTTAGTGTGTGGGGCCTCTGCTGCTTATGGGGAGTGAGGAGACCACCCTAAAGATCTTTGTGGTTAAGATCCCTATTGTACTAGACACCCAGCTGTGCAGAAGCTGGGCTTGCTGCCTCGGCCCACAACAACCTGAACATGGAGTCGTTAGTGGAGCTGGCCCCAAAGGTTTCAGTCTTTATTCTAATTGAGAGGCAAGTCTGAGATGAGGAGCCGAGGGGAAGGCTGGGCAAGAGCTGAGAGGTCTGACACCAGCTTTGTGTTTGGTACTAAGCATTGTCACCCTGCAGCAAATGTCAGGGAAGGAAACTGTGGTGCTTTACCTTGTTTTTTTGTTTTTTTTTTTTTTTTTTTTTTTTTCTCTTATGAGGTAGGATATTCACTTTAGAGAAATTTCCTTTAGAAAAAAAGCTGAAATGTGTGTTTTGGCATATGAGAGATGTTTTTTTTTCAAATACCTCTTCCCTTGACTTTGAGAAAATAGTTGTCTACAGAATTGCAGACTACTGTAATGCTAGGGGTACACTGTATGCACAACACGTCCCCCCTTGCTGCCGTCTACCATTGTTGAGGTTGGGTTGACTTTTACTCTCAGGACTTTGTCAGCAATTGGTGTGAGCTGAGGGGGAGATGTGTGTCTATGGAGTTACAGTCACCATCACTGGGAGGTTTCTGTGAGCCAGGCAAGTACTCCACACACCACAGGCACAGGGTTTCTATGTGAGCTCCACAGGGATTCTGCAGAGGTCAGAGGAGAAAAGGAACCATGGCACTAGTGAAATATTTACTATTGGGATGGCTTTGGCTAGTCCTCAATAGTGCTTTTATTTCTCAGTGAGGGGAAAGCTAATTGATAGTGTTTTTAGAAGAGTTCCATGTGCCTTCCTGGGAAGGCTGGCCTATTGATTTTCTGCTGTACCCTAGTCCAAGGTCCAAGTACATTGCATAACCTTTTCAGAGTTTCTTAAAGGTAAGTTGAGGCCCAGTGACACTGCCATTGCCGTAGCTCCTTGTGGTAGTGGATGGATAGGGAGGGGCCTGTGCTGGTCACTTACACTGCAGCATATGTCAGTGTGCATACCTATAGCTGTAGTGTTTGAGGAATACTGCAATACCCTTAAACAGTGAATAGTGTCAGTCTTTACTGTAGAAAATTAATAAAAATGTTAATCATAGCATATTGATTATAAATGGAGCAATATATAGTCTTCTCATTAAACTAGGTCAATATTAAATGTATTTTAAACATAGCAATTTATTTTGATTGAATTTTAAATATGGGTACAGTTTAATTTCATGGCAATAAGTTTTTTTTAATAATGTTAAGATTGTAAAACAATTTATTATTTCCAAAGCCATATCATAATCCATTTTTTGCTAAAGTTACAGTAAAATCTCAAATGAATTTCAGAAATATCAATAATTCTTAATTGCCACCAAAATACGATAGCTCTTAAAATTTTATAGCTAGTTATTAAGGCTGTTAAGCGTCAGACACATTGAAATGTTTATATTACATCTCCGTTGGTGCTCTTTTGATGGGGGATGTTAAAAGAAAATAAAATGCTAAGGATTGAGAAGCATATTAATGTCTGGAATTTGTCATTCACCAAATTCTGTTACAACTGCTGATCTCTGTAGTAGGTAGATGGAGTCGTAGTAGTAGTTCTTAGACTGAAAAAGAACTTCAGGGTTCTGATCACAGAATGACCAGAATCATCAGAATAAACCCATAGTTTCCAGTGTAGAAAATATTTTTGAATTGGTTAAGATTTTGGCTTACCTCCTCTAGAACTGGACAGCTGTAGTTGAAACCCTCTGTCTTCTGATTAGGCCCAAGCTCTCAGCTCAGTCTTGGATGTAAACTGTGTGGCGCCGTCCCTTCCTGTGCATTTCTTATCCTTTCATACACTCAGATCCTCAGGTGGGGCCTGGGAGCTGCTGTAGGTCAAATCTCTGAATCTTCTTAAGCAGGAGCTATGCTTAGAAGCCAGTGTTTGTGGGCTCTTGTTCTTGCTGGAGGTACACAGGTATCCATTAGGCTTGGCTTTCTTTACATAATGCTCATGCTTCAGTAATCTCCAAGCTAAATAGACTTTTTGGAACTGATAACACACCCCATGTTTTGAATTATCTGTGTCCTGGCAAGACACAGATCCACTTGCCTAGTTAAGGCTAGATGCTAGGACAGAATAGTAACCATTTCCCAGCATGCTGGTCAAGTCAGCTGTACCTGTGCCTGACACTTGCTACCTGGGTGAGGAGTGCTCATTTCCCAGTTGTGAAGCAAGGGCAGCTCTGTAGTTTGGTCTTTGCTTCCACATGCCTGTGCTTGTCTGAATTCTGGGACTGGCTTAGAGGATTTCTGGTGAGGAGTTGGTAGCTGCTTTTTAGTGGACATAACCAGTCCGGTAAGGAGTCGGTAGGCTGCTATTAGTGGCCATGAACAGATGCAGAACCGTAGTGTGAAGGGAGCAGTGAACACAGATGAGGTGTGGAGGAGACTCTGGAGGAGGTTTATCCTGGCGCAGGGCCTTATCTACTCACTAGCTCAGATATGTTGCTGTGCTCCTTGTGCTCCATGTTAAATCCTCTGCTGCGTCATGGGAAAGAGAACATTTCATGACAGTGGCAAGGACGTGCAGCTCAGTGCTTCTCCCCTCAGAGACCTTGCTCAGTTAAGCCAGGAAATCTAGAGTTCTCTGTAGGTGCTCTTGGTTTTGTCATAGTGCTGAAGTTTCTTGACAGCCAGCTAGCTGGAAAGATAACTGAGATCTTAGGTTTTGGGCTTCTTTCCCTTCCCGTGTCTCTGGGAGTAGTGGTCTGTTTTCCAGGAGATCCAGGTTTTCTCTGGGCCTGGGAAAGAAAGCCAGCATCCTTCAGTAATGTCTGTCCTATCTCCAGAGGATGGGTAATGAGACATCAACAGTGTTCTTACAGCTGGTTGCCTGAGATGGTAAAATGGAACTGCCCTGGGCTCTGGCCTCCTTCCCCAGGAGTCAGCACTGCTCAGATGAGGTGAGAGCCATGGAGGAAGTTCATTTCCAGAGACTTTTGATGTTGCTTTTTGTTGGCAACAGGAAGTTTAGCATTTATCATTTAGCTTTAATTCATCCCTAGAAGCTTTATTTCTGGTTCCAGCCAGCTGTGATTTAAGTTGCTGAGTGAACTCCCTGTACATCCATAATAAGGAACAGGCACTGGAGCAGAACTTAGCACAGACTGGTCCCTGACCCTGGGAGTGACTGTACAAGCCTAGCCCGGAAATCCCACCCAGAAGCTTGTCCAAGCGTGCCGTGGTTCTGTGTTGGTAACCACCAAGATTTGTATGTCCATTTCCGTTTTTCTTTTGAGACCATAGCTTTTGGCTGATTGGGCTTCTTCAAAAGCTTTCCTTGTGTGCCTTGATAGTTGTGCTTATGTAAGAGAGGGCCTGGGGTAGAGTCTCAGCCTTTGATGACATTAGAAAAAATTGGTAATTTGGGGCTTTGAGGTGCAATGCTTTCTCTATGCCACCTGAAAACAGTGTGGAGTTGCTTTTGAGATAATCCTCACCCAGGCCTCATTTCCAGTCAGACAGACACGGGAGAGGTCAGAAACCACGGTTTCAAGTGCCTGGTTTCATCTGGAGCACTGGGCTGCATGCAGGTCTTCAACCAGAAGTTGGTTCCAGTTGATCCTCGTGCTTGGATAACAGGCCTTCCATCTTCCTCCACTCTTTAATAATAAATATATAGCAATATCAAGATGGGAAAAATCTTTACATATTTTTTTCATTATTCGTGACTTTTGGTTTATACATAGTTGTTTTTGTCTTGTTATGGTTGTAGTGACTCTCATAAGTATAATCAACTTGCCCATGGTCTCTCTGCTAAGAGCCAGAGCTGAGGCTTGAAGCTGGGAAATGTTGGAAATGTTGCCTTCCATTGTGGTTTGGTGGAAAGTACAGTGTCCATGTGTGACCACAAGGTGGTGCCAAGAGACAGCACATAGCTTCCTCTCTTATGGCTAAAACCAAACAGAAACCTGGAATTGGGAGGTGGAGATGGTTTAGGGAGATGGCTTCTTAAACTTTGATCACTATCAGCAAAAGAAATAGCTCTTATCGCAAAAGAACAGCAGGGGTGGTTTATTTTGGAGTCAAATATGAGAGTCTATGGCTCAGAAACACAGATTTAACTCACTTTAGCCCGTTCTTAGGATTTTAAATTTTTATCGCTTCTTCAGTCTCGCTGAGTTGGATCCTAGTATGGAGATTTGGCTTGTGCACATGGCCATCTCTGAGGAGGAACAGGTTATCCCTTGGGTTGCCAAGGGTCAGACTCTGAAAGGGTTCAAGTGAGCTAGGATAAACGTTGAAGGGTCTCATTTGGAAGATCAGAGTCCTCTATGACCAGATGAGGAAGGATGGCCTCTGGTGCAATGACAGTCTGAGTAACTACACTCCTCTTTCTCGTCCATCCCCACCTTGGCTGAGGGACTGACTGAAGAGCCGTGGGAAGGGGAGGCTGTGAGTAATCCAGCAGCAGTTGGGTCTGCTGCAGAGGACTCACAATACTATCTCCAAGATGGAGTCTCTCCTCACTGTGGGGGAAGGGGGTATCAGTTCCACCTTGCCCGGGTCCAGTTTCTGCTGAAGACAGAGCTCCAGCCTTTGTGCGGTGGAGCCTCCTTTCTCTTCCTTGTACCAACATCCGGTTTAGGCTGGATTGTTTTTGTTCCTCTGATGGAACCTTGCTTGGATGGATCCTTGCTTGGGCCGAGTAGACAGTCAGCAATTTTAGAATGTTCATACTTAAGCAAAAGTCAAATTGATTTATTTACACCTTTTTAGAAGCCCTAAAAAGTTGATTTCTGAAATACTTAGGTTGTGGTCTAGAAACCTAAATAAAACAATTTGAAAATTGTTCTTAACATGTTTCTAGGAGCCCATTTCTTTTTTTTTTTCTTTTTTTTTTTTTTAAACTTTATTTATTTATTTATTATAAGTACACTGTAGC